ACATTTTTTTTTCAGAACTTTCTTCTAATCACTATGGCGGTATTCCCGAACGATTATCTTGCAAATTTAATTTTTCTTAATTTTTTCCAAATTTGTTTTCTGGTGTAGCTCAGCATCCGCTGGACCAATCAAAAAGTGCGCCATACATTTTTTGTTCGCTACTTTTTGCTAAACACTTTAGCGGTATTCCCGAACGATTATCTCTAAAATTTAATTTTTCGAAAATTTTTCATAAGTTTATTTGAGTGTAGCTCAGCATCCGCTGGACCAATCAAAAAGTGCGCTATACATTTTTTGTTCGAAACTTTTTCCCTATTTTATTGGTGGTATTCCGGAACGATTATCTCGCAAATTTAATTTTTCGAAATTTTTTAAAAAATTTATCTGAGTGTAGCTCAGCATCCGCTGGACCAATCAAAAAGTGCGCCATACATTTTTTGTTCGAGACTCCCGGGTTAAGACTTTGGCGGTATTCCCGACCAATTATCTCGCAAATTTAATTTTTCGAAATTTTTAAAAAAATTTATCTGAGTGTAGCTCAGCATCCGCTGGACCAATCAAAAAGTGCGCCATACATTTTTTGTTCGAGACTCCCGGGTTAAGACTTTGGCGGTATTCCCGACCAATTATCTCGCAAATTTAATTTTTCGAAATTTTTTAAATATTTATCTGAGTGTAGCTCAGCATCCGCTGGACCAATCAAAAAGTGCGCCATACATTTTTTGTTCGAGACTTACGGGTTAAGACTTTGACGGTATTCCCGAACAATTATCTTGCAAATTTAATTTTTTGAAATTTTTTCCAAATTATTTTTGAGTGTAGCTCAGCATCCGCTGGACCAATCTAAAAGTGCGCCATACATTTTTTGTTCAGAACTTTCTTCTAATCACTATGGCGGTATTCCCGAACGATTATCTTGCAAATTTAATTTTTCTTAATTTTTTCCAAATTTGTTTTCTGGTGTAGCTCAGCATCCGCTGGACCAATCAAAAAGTGCGCCATACATTTTTTGTTTGCTACTTTTTGCTAAAGACTTTAGTGGTATTCCCGAAAGATTATCTCTAAATTTTAATTTTTCGAAAATTTTTCATAAGTTTATTTGAGTGTAGCTCAGCATCCGCTGGACCAATCAAAAAGTGCGCTATACATTTTTTTTTCGAAACTTTTTCCCTATTTTATTGGTGGTATTCCGGAACGATTATCTCGCAAATTTAATTTTTCGAAATTTTTTAAAAAATTTATCTGAGTGTAGCTCAGCATCCGCTGGACCAATCAAAAAGTGCGCCATACATTTTTTGTTCGAGACTCCCGGGTTAAGACTTTGGCGGTATTCCCGACCAATTATCGCGCAAATTTAATTTTTCGAAATTTTTTAAAAAATTTATCTGAGTGTAGCTCAGCATCCGCTTGACCAATCAAAAAGTGCGCCATACATTTTTTGTTCGCTACTTTTTGCTAAAGACTTTAGCGGTATTCCCGAACGATTATCTCTAAAATTTAATTTTTCGACAATTTTTCATAAGTTTATTTGAGTGTAGCTCAGCATCCGCTGGACCAATCAAAAAGTGCGCTATACATTTTTTGTTCGAAACTTTTTCCCTATTTTATTGGTGGTATTCCGGAACGATTATCTCGCAAATTTAATTTTTCGAAATTTTTTAAAAAATTTATCTGAGTGTAGCTCAGCATCCGCTGGACCAATCAAAAAGTGCGCCATACATTTTTTGTTCGAGACTTACGGGTTAAGACTTTGGCGGTATTCCCGAACAATTATCTTGCAAATTTAATTTTTTGAAATTTTTTCCAAATTATTTTTGAGTGTAGCTCAGCATCCGCTGGACCAATCAAAAAGTGCGCCATACATTTTTTGTTCGAAACTTTTTCCCTATTTTATTGGTGGTATTCCGGAGCGATTATCTCGTGAATTTTTTTTTTCGAAAATTTTTCCAAAATATTTTTGAGTGTAGCTCAGCATTCGCTGGACCAATCAAAAAGTGCGCCATTCGTTTTTTGTAGACAACTTCATGGATAAGACTTTTGCAATTGTTCTTAGCGATTATTTCAATTTTAATTTTTTTTAAATGGAATAATTATTTAGATCTTGATCAAAATTCGTTATAATAAATTTTATTTTTGTAAATTTTGCTCCCTTTGAAAAAAATTTATTTCCTAATTAATTCATGTATGACAATCAGTAATATTGATTAAAAGTTAACGTGTTAATTGCATAATTCGAACTTTTCGTGTAATGTTCAAAGATTTAATTAATAAGTACGTCAGATAATGAAGCACATCGAAATCATAGCGGATGCTGCTCAGTAATTTCATGAAACGTGAGATTCATCTCTATGGGGTCCTTGATATATATATATAGTTGACTATGTATTTGTGAACAGATTGGACTACAACAACATGGATACTTAATTACATCGTCAGAAATAACGTTTCTTGATTGTACTAAGTTTGTATTTTGCATATTGTGTATAAGAAACTTTTCCTCTTTCTTTCTTTCAGTTTCTTTCGCCAATTTTAAGAAAATTGACTAAAAAAATTTTAAGAAAGTGTTGAAAATGTTCGTTTTATTTATTTTATACAGTACTTGGAATTTGGCTTTGATGGTGTAGTGAGTAGTTTTCCCTATCTGGTCCTTCTCAGAGAAACTGACTAGCACCTTACCAGTTGCCCCTACTACTGCCTAGTTAGGCTTTTCCTGATCAATACTTTAATAATAACTGGAAAAACTGTTTTTTCTAAGTGTAAATGTCATTTAATAATAAAATAAAATTAACAAAAAATTACTTTACATGATACTTTAGCGATAGTTGAATTAAATTCCTATAGCCAAAAACTATGTTTAATTATTGGCTATAAGGGATGCAATTAGCTTTTTGTACATTCATTTCCTCTCTATCTCTTTCTTCTTCTTCCTCTTCCATCACCTTCAATCTAATGGTTAACGTAGATTCAGGAACAGGGGATTCTTGCGAGAATTAAATGTCAATCAACCGTGACGTTCATTTAACTGTCCTGTTAGTTTTTATCTTTTTCTTTCTCTTTTTGAAACTTTGGGTGGAGACAGAAAAAAAATGTAACCAAAACGTTTCAATTTTTTTTTTCTAATATTCTTTATATTATTAATATTTTTGAATTAAAAAAAAAAATATCACCATTTTCGCACATTTATAATGGAATTTGTTCTGAATTTTCTTCAAGAAATTGTTTCAGTGATTTATCACGTTTTTCTAAAAGGACGTCTCAAGTCTTTTTCTGTTCCTCTTCTCGTTATCCCAATTCCAGTGGGTCTCTAAAATAAAATTTGCATTGAAAATATTACTACTTTGTATAATGAATACACGTTTCCTTCTTGGAAGGTTCCAATGAAGAGTTTCCATCTAGAAATTGTACTAAGTCAGGCAATATCATTTTGCATAAAGAGCTTGACTTTATTCATCAGGGCAAAAAAAAAAGAAAAAAAAATAGAAAGAAATAAACAAAGAAATACATTTCTTTTCGACGTCTATCTCTTCAACACCTGCTGTTTATTTCTTAAAATGAAAGTGAAAAATTTACACATAGCTTTGGAAAATTATATTTTTTCAGGATTTATCTAATCTACTTATTAATTCTAATTATTATTCTTTTTAGTGAGGAAAAATACAAAATAAAAAATGTTAACTTTTCTGCGTTGGATTCCTGATGGGGATCTGACCAGTTTTTCCAATCTGGTCCTTCCTGGAAAAACTGACTAGTTTCTTACTAATATCTTACTAGTAAGCCTTATTAGTGTCTAGTTAGTCCGGATCAAGCCCCGGCTAAGGAAAAACTTTTCAGGGTCTTGTTAGTTTTCCCTACTTGGGCCCTGACAGAGCCCTATTTTAAATGGGGAAAAATGTTACGATTTCTGCACGGGGAGGAAAATGATAATTTCCAACCCTAGGGATTAAAATAGTCCTTTTTAATTCTAGGATTTAAAATAGCCTTTTTCTAACTCTGGGAAATAAAAAAAAACATTTTTGTAACTGTAGGGAATAAAATAGTATTTTTTGTAACTCTAGGGAATAAAGTGGCATCTTTTAACTCTAGGGAGTAAAATAGTCTTTTTTTAACTCTAGGGAGTGAATGGAGTTTTTTTTTGTCCCTAGGTCTGTAAAATAGTTTAAATTAAATATGTTTTTCTTTTTTTTTTCTTTTATAAAAAATAGATTCTCGAAAGGTTTATAAACGATTAAATTTTTGCAACAATGAAAATCTTGTGTGATGAAATTCCCTATGGGGGATTTGAATAGATTTAAGTAAATTTCGAATTTTATCGTCAAGTAAAGTGGCACTAAAAGTGAGATTTAAAGGTTCGTTTTACAGGTTGAACAGACCGTCTCGTCATCGATTCCAAAAAAGACGATGGAGTTAGAATTGTACCGTTTTAGAAATACTGTGTTTAACCCAATTGGTATTCACAGTTTCGTCTCAACGGTATTTCACTCATAAGTTCTCTTTGGAAAACTTTTTTTTCCCCTATATTCAATTTCTTCTCTCTTCGATCAAAAAAAAAAAAAAATCCCGCTCTTCAACATTTGACTGATGTCTCTTAACTATTTAGGTTTTGAATTTTTATTTTTGTTTTTTTTTTTTTTTTAAAGTAGATATTATTTAATAATCAAAAGTTATTTGAGTTTTGTAAAAGTGAAATTGTATTTTTATTAGGGGCAATATTTTTGAAATAAAGTGCAAGAAATATTTCTTTTTATTTTCTGCACATTTTTCTATAACTTGAGAGAGGCGAGAATATATATATATATATATACTGTATAAAGAAATGCGGATAAGAAATGAATTTAGAAATATTTGAGAAAATAAATAACATTAGTGTATTGTGAAGATCCATGGGAGAATTAAAATTGAAACTGAATGTCCACATGGGGGAAAAATATCCTCAATAAAGAAAGTCCAAAGTGCTTAGGCGAGGGGTTATTTTCTTTAAGATATTTTTTTTTTTGTTCCAGCTCGGGAAGTCCCGGGAGAACAATTCATTCTATATCACACGCGAGCAAACCAGCTATTCTTTCTGATCAATGGCAAAGGGCCAAGATGGAGAAGAGGAGAAAGAAGGGAGAGAGAGAGAGAGAGAGAGATAACGTGGCAAAGTAGTAAGTTTTCCAAGTCATGGTTATAACTTTAATTTCCGCGAGTGGCTGCATCAATGCCGTCACACTGAGTTCAAAATTAACTGCGCTTTCGATTCCATTAAATATATAAATATATAGGGTATTTAATATATGAGAAAATAATATTATTTCATTATTTTCTAACAATTTAGAATAGAAATTATTTTTTGAAATAATGAAAATTTATTTTTAGTACTTTTTTTCACAATATCTTTTTTTTGTAGCAGAAAACAAAATTCTAAAAAAAATACCTTGTTTTAATCCATATAATCTTCATTTTCCAAACAGTCATTCACTTTTTCAAGTTGAAAAGTGGAGACACACTTGACAAGCTTGAGTTAAGAGGGAAGGAAGGGGGGGGGGGTGAAAAAAGTATAGTACAAAAAAAATGTGAAAAAGTATATATATATATATGTGAAAAGAGAAGTTGGGGGGGGGTTGAGGAATGAGGTAAATGTAATTGCTCTAGACTGTACAAAACAATCGTCTCGCTACTTTCGACCGGATGTAGTTATACAACAACTACTGTATATATGTAGCTACATACTACAATTGTATATAGTAGTTGTTACTGGCAAACGCAGGCACACTGTACTCTCATAGCACGCCTCTGCTTTAAAGTTCAATTACCGAGCTCCGATCGTCGGACAAAAGTTCTCGGTTATAGAACACAGAATACTCCCGTTGTAGGAAACTTTCGAATAAGATAAGTTTTAACACGCGGACCCCAAAAACAAGTGGATATGTCGAGTTTTTTTTTTTTTTTATTTTTTTTATATACAATGTTTCATCACAATAAAAAAAAGGGATTCAAAAAGAAATGTTTTACAGAAATTTTATCGACAGTATAGTACAAGTCGATTTTAGTCAGACAAATAATTAAAAAATAGTAGTACAAGTCAATATTTAGTTCTACTTTTTACAGTTTAATCTAATTATCAGTAGTACAAGTCGATTTTAGTCAGATATTAGAGATAATTTAAAAAAATAGTAGTACAAGATGGTTTTAGTCAGACATATTGAAAAAAATTAGAAAATCAGTAGTAATAGTGAACATTAAGTCAGTTCAAAATTTTTGTGATTTTGTCAGTAGTACAAGTTGGTCAAAGTCAGACATAATAAAGTTAGGAAAAAGTAGTGAAAGTAAATATACAGTCAGACTTTTTAAACTTTTCCTATTTTACAGTAGTACAAGTCAATGTTTAGTTTTACTTTTTAAATTTTTATCATTATCAGTAGTACAAGTCGATTTTAGTCAGACGAAATGAACAAAGTATTAAAAACAGTAGTAAAAGTAAATATATTGGGTTTTTTTTTTAAATTAAAAAATAGCTCAATTAGTACTAAAAGAAAAAAATTTCAAAAAAAAAAAAAACGGAAATGTAAATCTAAAATGGTGTCTGATTTGACGTGGAATACATCATATATAGATATAAAGATTGAACAAGGTGAATTGGCGGCGTTATACTGAATTTTCGAAATTCAGAGAGGATCAGAGGTTGGTCGACTATAACGGGTATAACCGACGGATAACAGATTGACGCTTCGTTATGCGTGGGGAATAACTATACCCACGGTGGCCGTGCCGTTGAATTATTTATGCAATTAGGCATCATCGCTTCACATGCGTATCCACCGTGAATCGGGGCATTTTAACTGGGCAACCGCGTATATATATATATCTATAGGGAGAAAAGACGGAGAAAAAAAGAAAATTCAGATGATACCGCACAGCATCACACATACATATTAACATATTTTCAAAATTCCATATTATCATAAAAATCATAATTGTGGATTTTGTAATTGAATTTTTTTTTTGACAAATATATATATATATATATATATATATGCAGCCTCAGGTTTATATTATATCAAACTCAAAATTAATTTCAAGTCTCTCAATATGATCTTAAATATATTACGTGTCAGGTCACAATGTGGACTTTAATTAAGTTCTAATTCGAATTGAAATGCAGTTGCAGGGTTTATTTAAACGACAACTTAATTATGAATAAACTGGTTTAATTAATAAAAGAGAAGTAAAACCGTGTTTCTACAAGAATATTTCATCGTCTCTAAACAAAGGATATATATATATATATATATATATATATATATACATATATATTATTCTTATTTACTCAGAATATTTATTATTCTCAACTGTTATAGGATTTGCAATATTATAAACTGTACTAATATAGATTAATTAATTATTATCAAAAAAAAAAAGGGAAATAAAAAATGTTTAGTCAGATTAACTTCTTTAAACATTTTTTCTAATATTATTTTAGTATTAGTAAATTATAGTCCGACTTTTTGAATTTTTTGTAATTTGTCAAATTTTCGAAATGTGAATAAAATATTTCATGTTATTTACTTGTAAAAATTGCGACTATATATTTTTAAAATTGTGTGAAACTCAAGTAATGTAATTTAGAAATTGAATGGATGCGCTTAATTGGAAATTTAAGATTAATTACCGCCTTATCGTTGAGTAGGATGTTTGCAAGCTTGTGGACCGATTAACAAAGGGCCGGAACGTGATCGCCAACTTTTGCCAGCACTCCTAAGTCTTGTATTAGCAAAAGCACTTTGGGACATTTGAGAAGAGCTCGTTTCCTCCATAAGTTACATCTCACCGTGGAAAGTTAAAGGAGGGCAAATTTGATGAACGGTTCTGAGAGTTGTGTGCAGCGCGCACCTTGCACTTTTTTCAAGCAAAAAAAAAAATTTTTTTTTTTGAAAGAATGTTTTCCTGGAAAAGGAAAAAAATCAAAAAATTCTAATTTTTTCAATATGTCTGACTAAAACTATCTTATACTACTGAAGAAATCACAAAAAAAATTACCAAATATTTACTAGATGTAAAATTTTAGAGAATTTTAAAAGTCGAATTTTCCTCTCAAAGGAAGAATATATTTTTCCTGTTATTATATTGTTAAATTGAAAATAAATAAAAATATACATATTTCTATATAAAAAAATGGTATAAAATTGATTGTTCTTATTCTCTTGCAATTTAGGTTCAATTAGTAGGTTTTTTTGAAGGTAATATGTGTTGTTTGAAGGTAAAAAAATAATGGAGACATGCTGTTTAATTTTATTTGAATTTGTATGGAATTTTTTCATTTTCCAGGAAAACATTCTATTTCAAGAAATGGAATAAAATTCATTATTCTTAGTCTACTGCAATTTAGGTTCAATTGGTAGGTTTTTTTGAAGGTTATTTCGTGTTGTTTGAAGGTAAAAAAATAATAGAGACATGCTGATTAATTTTATTTGAATTTGTATGGAATTTTTTCATTTTCCAGGAAAACATTCTATTTCAAAAAATGGAATAAAATTGATTATTCTTAGTCTACTGCAATTTAGGTTCAATTGGTAGGTTTTTTTGAAGGTTATTACGTGTTGTTTGAAGGTAAAAAAATAATAGAGACATGCTGATTAATTTTATTTGACTTTGTAAGGAATTTTTTCATTTTCCAGGAAAACATTCTATTTCAAAAAATGGAATAAAATTGATTATTCTTAGTCTACTGCAATTTAGGTTGAATTGTTAGGTTTTTTTGAAGGTTATTACGTGTTGTTTGAAGGTAAAAAAATAATGGAGACATGCTGTTTAATTTTATTTGATTTTGTAAGGGATTTTTTCATTTTCCAGGAAAACATTCTATTTCAAAAAATGGAATAAAATTGATTATTCTTAGTCTACTGCAATTTAGGTTGAATTGTTAGGTTTTTTTGAAGGTTATTACGTGTTGTTTGAAGGTAAAAAAATAATGGAGACATGCTGTTTAATTTTATTTGATTTTGTAAGGGATTTTTTCATTTTCCAGGAAAACATTCTATTTCAAAAAATGGAATAAAATTGATTATTCTTAGTCTACTGCAATTTAGGTTCAATTGGTAGGTTTTTTTGAAGGTTATTACGTGTTGTTTGAAGGTAAAAAAATAATAGAGAGATGCTGATTAATTTTATTTGAACTTGTATGAATTTTTTCATTTTCCAGGAAAACATTCTATTTCAAAAAATGGAATAAAATTGATTATTCTTAGTCTACTGCAATTTAGGTTCAATTAATAGGTTTTTTTGAAGGTTATTACGTGTTGTTTGAAGGTAAAAAAATAATGGAGACATGCTGTTTAATTTTATTTGATTTTGTAAGGGATTTTTTCATTTTGCAGAGCGTTTAACGAACGTCACGAGCAGCAAGCGATGACAGCGTCTTCAACGAACAAGAGGTGAGGCTTTAAGTACCCTTGAAACGATCCATCCAAACTCGAAGATAGCTCTCTTCTCATTGCGGTTGCAAACTCATACCCATTTTCTTCTTCTTCTTCCCCTAATCGAAATCGAACCTCACGAGAATCGTTTCTGACAGAGACAGAGCGACAAATACCATCGAGACGACATGGGGTTGACTGATCATGGGGGGTGGTATGAGTGGGGGAAGGCAGAAAAATTAGGACTTACTCTCCAATCTCTCTCTTTCTCTCTCTTTCTCTCTATTTGGGAACTTAAACGATTTTCTCATTCTGACTATACTAAAGAAACGGTTAATTGGAAAACGAGTCTTGATATATTAAATATCGATTTTGGCCTCCAGAGACTTTTGAGGAAATTAAAAAAAAATTTTTTGTAAAAGTTTATTAACTAAACATCGAATAGAAAAAAAAGAAAACGAATTATTATTATTAAAAAAACGATTTTTGATGAAAAATATTAAAATTATTCCTAAATATTGAGTTTATGTTCGTTTCTTTGTTTAGGAAATTTAAGGTTATGTTTTTTGGACATATTCTTGAACCCATCGGCAATTCTGGGGACTTGCGGCTATATTCACAGTTAAAATTCACATAAATTTTGAGGTTATGTTCGTTTTTAGGTTACTGAGGGGATTTCCTGATAAAAATTTGACTTAAATTTGAGGTTATGTCATAGCCTCAAACCCAGCGGCAATCCTGGGGACTTGTGG